TGATGTGTAGAAAATTACCACATTATCCTTAATGAAGGTATAATTTTGGCTTTTTTGTAAGTCATTAGATCATCTGATCTAATGGCTACAACTTATTCTCATTTCTTTCCCTAAGAGCACCCACAATGCTTTGGGTCTTTTTTTGTATATGTGGCAAATAAATAGACTTAAGTCTATAATGACATGGACAAACCCAAGCTAAAAAATCCAAAATCTATCCAATGCAAAACAAAAAGGTACTAAGTCTAGAATACTAAACAACCAATAAAAATATAGTAATAATAAATGCATACAAAAAAAATGTGTTTTGCCTATTAAAAAAAAATTGTGAACAATTAATGACTAGGCGGGTTTGTACTTGGGTCCAAAATAGACCCAAGTGTGGACTTGGTCTCTTTTTTCTAGTGCCACATAAGTTAGACTAGGTTCACTTTTAATTGCATTGTGAAATATTTTTTTATAAATTAAGTCTATTTCCTACATGACATGTGATTTTTTTCTACGAGACCCAAAGCATTGTGGGTGCTCTAAAAACCATTCTCACCGGAGCGTGACCATATATATATATATATAATATTTGACATAGCTAGCCTTGCCTCCTCCAATCAAGGAAATACAAATTATTTTTCCATATATTCACCCCTTATTATAAAATGATAGCAATTTTATTTTATACATATTCTCTTCGATCGGGCTACAAAATTCGTATCAACAACGAGTGATCATTATACTAAAAGTATTTTGCATGGAAGTCATAATAATAATAATACATATTTTGTGTTAAAATATTCCATATTGATTTTTTTTTTTTAATTCAACGTTGGTCTTTTATTCCCATTCAAAACTTTAATTTTCAATTAATCACAGTAAGCATAATAATTTACAAATTAAATTACCAAACATAACATGTATGTAATAATTATAATACTATATGTTACTATTCTTATTGCAATATTATTATCAAAGTCAAAGATTCAGATCTTAAACGGCAAACGAATTAAACACTTTCTCACAAAGTTGCAGATTCTTAATTTCAATATAATTAATACACTCATGCGGTAAAATACAAGACAATTAAGTGACTAATTTTCAAGGTTATTAAAGACGTTAAGCTGATTGGAGCTAGCGACTACCAAACATGAGCTCGAGTCGTGCTCGAGTTCGACCGAACTCGAGCCCATATATTGCATTGTTGAGCGCAGGGGCGTAGCCAGGAAATTTTTTAACCTGGGGCTGCATATAATTGTAGCTATTATTAGAACCTTCTGGACAGGTCATGAGCCGACCCAGCCTGTCGGTTCGGCCCGAACCGACACAAACTGGCCCGTTGACCATGGGTCTTGAACCGGTCCGTGGTTTTGACCAGTTCGATTCATGTAAAATACCTTATAGTTTATATATTTTGAACATACAGTTTCGATTCCGGATTGAAATCGGAATCCGAGGTTCGGCCTTTTTTTAAAAAAATATTATTTTAATTATTATTATTTTATTTTTTTTATGAACCGGCCGACCAATAACCGACAGTTCAATGAACCGACCCGTACGTATGTTCACGTCGGTTCATGGTCCTCCAACTCTCGACCCGATATCGACGGTTTCGACTTGTAATCAGTTTTGGTTATGATTAGAAACAAAATATCATTTAACATATGTCCGTTTGAATTGAAAAAACTCAATCTCGAGTCGCTTTTATATTTAAACAAGTCAAATTCAAATAGCTAATCGAATTTTGTCGATCAAACAAATAGAGTCGAACATGTTTGCAATCAACTCTGTACGAGATTTCTTTTTGTCTAGTAAATGATGCTGAGTTAATTATTAGAGGCGAAATCAACAAAAAAAAAAAATAGATAACCGACTGTGGACTGAGACGAACCCAATTAAATAGCCCGTTTGAAAAGTTTGTGTCAAACTTAATTATCCTACTAATTTGATATTTATCAAGTCAACCGATTAACAATATAAAAGGCAAGAATGTGTTGGGTCACATTATAAACTCAATTGATAAATCTAATAAGGTCATAGTTATCATTTGACAATAAAGAATTGTATTTTTTTTCTTCACTATTTTTTTCACCATTGTTGTCAGATTAAAAATTTTAACTTGAAGATATTCTTGAGGCATTCAACCTAAAATTAAATTGGGCTACATAAAAAATTACATGGGGCTAATGAGTTTATGTATAATTTTTTTTAAAAAAAATAAGGCTAGCAAAAATAACATTAGCAAAAAATTACATGGGGCTGGAGCCCACCCTAGCCTTAGGGTGGCTCCGCCCCTGGTTGAGCGGCTCGAGATATATCCAAATTATTAAAATGCCCCATATATATTAGCATAGATGCTTAATGGTAATTTTAATTTTATATTTACAAATTGTCGAGCCGAGCACGAGCTATTGTAATTTTTTTATCGAGTCGAGCTCAACCCTGATAAATCGAGCTCGAGCAGATAAAAAAAAAATAAAAAAATCAACCCTGCTCGGTAAATCCCATGCTCGATCCAGCTCGATTCGTTTGCAGCCCTAATTGCAATGTCCCCACTCCCATAGCTTTGCTTTTCTCCTTCTTTGCATGATCTTGAAAAAACCGAACAGATGAAAATTGCTGGCA